AACAAAACAAAACTCTGGCTTCATTTCTTCCTAGGAATTCTAGTTAAACTTTTATCTAAGACATGTTTTTCTTTGAGGCTTTGCTTGAAGGTGTTTTGTAACTGATGAGGTCTAGAGGCTAGGGGTGCTGGAATCCCAAAATCATGACACACGGGTCCTGCCCGAAAGAATTCAACCCAAGCCTTCTTTCAGCCAAAAACAAGGTTTATTGAAGATTTGCCATATTAGCTACACTCTTAAGGAATCTGAGCATCTGTGGGCTATTGGCTAGATTGTGAAAATCTGAGCCTTGGCTAGATTTTCTGAGCATTTTAATGAAGATGAAATGGACCTTATATACAGAAAGACTATGGGAGGGATCTAGGAGTGGCAGAGTAGTCTATGAGGTAATAGAACTCCAGGGGTGACCAAGGGAGAATGGAGCCTAGATAGGATTAAGGGTGGGAAGTGGCCTGGGGCCATAGGGAGGTCTAGGCTAGGTTAAGGGTAAAGAGAATTGGGAGATTGGGTGTAAAGCCACAAAGAAAGGCCAGTTGATGGGATTATAACCTGGGGGGGCGGGGAACTGCTAGAGGTTTGGCCATGTGGGAAAGTCCAGGGTTTTTCCTTTCTGGGGTCTAGATCCCAACCCCATCAGAACCATTGTCTTCTTCCAAGTGTGGTTTTAGACATCCCTGTCACCATAATTGCTTTTTATGGTGGAATTTTGTTTGTTTGTTTGTTTGTTTATTTATTCTTCCAGCCTTATTTCCTAATCTGGGACTTTATGTTAGGGTCGGACTCGATGCACTTCTGAAGGTAGTGTCTATGCCTCCTTTGGTCCAATTTTGTACTTTCTTAGGCCTGATGCTGCTTTCTCTGAGGACGGAGTCCCATGTAATTTTAAGGATCTCAGTGGCAGCTCAGGCTAGAGATCCCTAAACCTGTCTGATCCAGGACAAAGTCTGATCCCTACCCTCCTAGTCTGAGCTTTCAAAGCCCCTGAACCAGGTTTGGGTCCGAGTAACACCACTGTAGGCCTGCCCCAGTTGTGTTGAGGTTTAGGGATTTAGGGGTGCTGGGACCCCAAAATCACAAGCGGATCCTGCAAAGAATTCGACCCAAGCCTTCTCTCAGTCAAAGACAAGGTTTATTAGAACATCCGTCACATTGGGCAGACCCTTAAGGAGTCTGAATGTTAGTGAGCTATTGGCTAGATCATAAGAATCTGAGCAGTGGCTAGATTTTAAGAATCTAAGCACTTTAATGGAGACAAGAAGGATCTTATATACAGAAAGACTATGGGAGGGATCTAGGAGTGGCAGAGTAGTCTACCAGGTAATAGAACTCCAGGGGTGGCCAAGGGAGAATGGAGCCTAGATAGGATTAAGGGTGGGAAGTGGCCTGGGGCCACAGGGTAGTCTGGGCTAGGTTAAGGGTAAAGAATTGGGAGGTTGGGTGTAGGCAATAACAAAAGTCCAGTTGATGGGATTATAGCCTCAGGCAAATGCCAGAGATTTGACCCCATGGGGAAGTCCAGGGTTTTTCCTTTCTGGGGTCTAGATCCCTTCCTCATCAGTTGGAGCACCAACAGACAGCTACTGGTTCCAGCTAGAAGGCTCCACAGGTTCACAGCAACAAAACTGTAGGTTCCCCTTAGGCATGAGATCCCTGCCATGGTTTTTCAGTCGAAGGTTCCAGGCAACGTGGGTAGCTAAATTTGAAAAGCTGCTACGGGATCAGAGTCACATATTTACTACCTGCTCTTGCCTCCTGCCACAACATGGCCTCAGGCCCCAAACTCCTCCTTGCTTGGTTCACCCCCCACCCCACCCCAGACACAGATATCCTTCTTCATCTAAGTTAGATCTTCAACCCAGCTCTGGGGTACTTGCAACAGAGCACTCAATTGGCTGTTTCTCTAGATCTTTTTTGTAGAAGTTGCTGGAGGTGGGGCGGGGCAGGGAGGGGAATAAAACTAGGCTTTACTGCTTCCTTCTACTCTTTCTTGGTTATTTTCACATAAGAACATAAAGTTTTGCAAATAAGAGGGCCTACTCTCTGCTGTCTCCAAAATTACCAGTGATCTCCTAACCACCAAATCCAATTGATGAGGTCCAGAGGTTTAGGGGTGCTGGGACCCCAATATCACAATGCAACCCAAGTTTTCTTTCAGCCAAAGACAAGGTTTATTAAAGATCCACCATATCAGCCAGACCATTAAGGAATCTGAGCGTCTCTGAGCTATTGGCTAGATTGTAAAAATCCAAGCAGCGGCTAGATTTTAAGAATCTGAGCACCTTAGTGGTGACAAGGTGGACCTTATATACAGAAAGACTGTGGGAGGGACCTAGGAGTGGCCAAGTAGATTGGGGTGACTGGAGGAGGGGTCTAAGGAGGATCTGGATGGGAGTGGCCAGTAAGCTGGGGTGAACAGAACTCCTGGGACCTTGACCATGTGGCCAAGGGAGAATGGAGCCTAGCTAGGATTAAGGGTGGGAAATGACCAGGAGCCATAGAGAAGTAAAACAATGGACTGCTAGGCTAGATTAAGGGTAACAGAATTGGGAGACTGGGTGTGGCCACAATGAAAGGCCAGTTGATGGGATTATAGCCTCAGGGGAAGAGATTTGGCCTAGTGGGGAAAGTCCAGGGTTTTTCCTTTCTTGGGTCTAGATTCCAACCCCATCACAATGACCTTTTCTTCCTCCTCATTCCCCTTGTCCTCTCTGCAGTCTCTCACACTGTTGATCACTCTCTCCTCTTTGATATTCTCTTCTCTATAGGTTTTCAGGCACCCTCACACCCCGCCCCCATTCTCCTCCTCCTTTTCTCAAAGTTCCTTCTCTGTCTCTTTGGCTGGATGCTTCTCTAGATCATGTCCTCTCACTATCTGTATCCCTGTGGTAGAGCCAAGACTCTGGCCTGAGTCTTCTTCTCTTCTCCCTCTAGACTACTTCACTTGGTGACCTCATCAGTTCCCAGGGATTTAATTATAATCTTTATCCTGATGATTCTCAAATCTCTTTGCTGCCCCAGTCTCTCTGCTGACCCCCAATCTAACATCTCTGCCTTTCAGACATCTCAAGCTGGATGTCCAGTAGTCTTCTTAAACTCAATACGCCCAAAACGGAACTCAATTATCTTTCCCCTTAAACCCTCCCCTCTTCCTACTATTACTATAGAGGGCAACACCATCCTCCCAGTCCCTCTGGCTCCCAACCTAGGAGTCATCCTGGACACCTCACTATCTTTCACCACCCCCATTCAATATGGTGCCAAGGTCTGTCAATTTCATCTTTGCAACATCTCTTACATACACCCTTCTCTCCTCTGACACTGCCCAACCTGATGCAGTCCCACCTCCTCTCTCTGGCTGTCCTCCATGCCGGGAATGCTCTTCTTCCTCTGTCCTCCCTGGCTTCCTTCAAGTATCAATTAAAATCTCACCTTCTACAGGGAGGAGCCCCCTTAATCCAGCGCTGTCCCTCTTGTAATCATTTCCTATTTATCCTGTTCCTATTTATTGCTGGGTGTGTGTGTGTGTTTGCATGTTGTCTCCCCCTTTAGACTACAAGCTCCTTGAGGGCAGGGACTATCTTTTGCTTCTTTTTGTACGCCCAGGGCTTGGCACATGGTAGATGAACCTACTTTATGAATTATGAACCTCTTGATTTGATTAGAAATAAACTCTGATTAGTTTATGAAACAAGCTAACCATGCTCTGCCTTGGAAGCTTTAAGTAGGTTAAGAAATTTCAGCCTTAAGCCTATCAGGCATCTAGGTGCCTGGGTCCCCGGGATGGAAACCTCTCCTATAGGAGTTGAGTTATCATGTTACCACACCACGTGTGTGCCTCATTACCATTGTCTTCTAAGCATGAGTCCACTCTTCCCATGTATTGTGTGTACTTGTGGGAGACCATGACCCAGGATTTGGGAGAAATATTTGTACCAAATGTTCTTATAATATTCATTTAGTAAATGCCTTTCCTAAAAGCTAACCAAGAGCTGTTAACTGGGATCACACCGATGGGGGCTCACGAGTGACAGTACTAGAAATCCATCCCCTCAGGGTTACCTCTAGAACCCTAACAGCACTATCTGCCACCCCTTGGGAACCTAGCCAACCAATATGAGGAGTTAGGGAAGTAATCCCAAAGGTGGTGCCACAACAAGTCAAAAATATTCTGGGCCTTCTCACTTCACTCCAATGCAGAGGTTACTGTAGGTTCAAGGCTGTGGATGCTTCACATATTTGGGGACTCTTTCAATGTATTTATCCGTTTTTGCTGATTTCTTCCCCTTCTTACTTTTCCTTGGCAATAGAAGATGACTCTTTGAGAGTTGGGAGGGGGAAAATACTGACAGAAATTTGGATGATATAAAAACAAAAGATATCAACACAAATTTCTTTTAAAAAGGAAAACATTCTGGGCTACTTCTCTTTGCAGGCAACAATTTCCAAAAGCTTTCATCCTCATTCATTGAGGCAAGTAGGGGGAGCTAGGGGACACAGAGGATAGACTGCTGGAACACCTGAGTTCAGGTACGCATACAGTTATATTATTCCAGCTCCCTCAAAACCTGGCTCCCTAATAAATACAAGCTTTCCTGTATGCTTTTCAATTTCTGTATTCCCTGTCTGGATAACAGGGAGAATCAACCTTTCCCCAGGCCTGTCTGGGCAAATGCAACGAGCAGGAATACACGCGTTAGCCCAAACTTAGAATTTCTTTCACTGTCGGATTAGATCCTGGCCGGTTTCCCCACCGGTTGGTTTCTGGATGAGGAAGGAGAAAAGGGGAAAATCCTTGGTCCTAATACAATAATTAGCCATTAAACATAAAAGAGGACTATCAGTTTCTCACATGCTCTATCCTCAGCACCACCTCGCTGCCCCTTCCTCTATGCCTTTCAAACCTCCCACAATCTGACCCAAGTCTTTCCTTACAGACCAGCTTCCCATCATCTTTCACATCATCCATTCTAGTTCTGGCCGAACTGGCCTGTTTGTTATTCACCAAACAATAGCTAGGATTTATTCATACGGCTCTTTCAGGTTAGCAAAGCACATTACAAAGATCTCACTCGATCTTCCCAACAACCCTGGGAGATAGGTGCTATTATTATTCCCATTTTACAGGTAATGCAACTGAGGCAAACAGAAGTGAAGTGACCTGCCCAGGGTCACACAGCTACTGTGAGCCAGGATGGGACCTGAGGTCTTCTCGACTCCAGGCCTGGGGGGTCTAACCAGTGATCCACCTCCACGCCCTTGTACAAGCGTCCTCCATGTGTAAAATGTCCTCCACATCTTGAAACCCTCAACTCCATTCAAGGTCCAGTCAAATCTCCTCCTACAACAGACCTTTCCAGTTGTTAACACTCCCACCCCGCCCCAAGACAACAAAAACCCTTCCTATTTACTCCTTCAGTCTTTCTATTTCCACTCAGTAAAATGTCAACTTCTCGAGGGCAGGGACTATCTCACTGTCTCCATTTTCCCAGCTTCAAACACACTGCCTGGCACATAGTAGGTGCTTAATAGTGGCTCCCTTAGGCAAATTCAGTTAAGGGTCGAGTTGAAGCTGGGCTGTAGGTAACTGGATGTTCTGATGCAGTCAGGGCTGAGGTAGGCTGGGATGAACTTAATTTGACCCTGGAATGAATGTGGGGCTCAGCTTCTGATGACGTTGGGGCTGATGATGAGTGAAGGGTGAAGGCAGGCATTTAGGATGGTCTGACCCAGACTTGAGGTTGGGGAGTTGTTGAAGACTCTGGCCTGGGCTCAGGAGCGCTTGGAATGGAGAAAGGCCTGTGATGGGGCTAAGATCAAATTATATTCAAGGCTATTGCCGGAGCTAAGCTTAGCCTCTGGATCAGCTGGAGTTGAGGCCGAGTTTACCCTATGGAATAGGGTAAGGCTGGGGCTAGGTTTAGCCTGTGGAATGGGGTATGGTTGAAGTTGACCTCAATTTATGAAACGGGGTAAGACTGAGGTTGACCTTAACCTATGGTATGGGGTCAGGATTGGGTTGACCCCGGCCTACAGAATGGAGTAAGGCTGGGGTCGACCCCGGCCTACGGAATGGAGTAAGGCTGGGGTTGACCCCGGCCTACGGAACAGTGTCAAGCCGTGGCAGACTCCAGCCTGTGGACGGGCTGTGGCTGGTGGTGGGATGGGGGCCAAGACCAGAAGGATCGGAGTTCACATTAGGGATGAGGATACAGGAAGAGGATGGGCTGAGATCAGTGTAGGGTGGAGAAGAAGCTGGACCCAGACCAGGTGACAACAAGCAGATGGCAGGTGAGGCTGGGCTCAGCTTGCAATCGTGGCCCCCACTATTCCAGATGCCGTGATGCCAGCTTTGCTCCTCAGTCTTCTTCAGGGCCTGCCAGGAGCCCATCTGTCCAGCCCCCACAGGTGAGAGCAGCTCCCTCAGTGCTCTGGCTCGTGGGGGGCTGAGGGTGCCTGCTGGGGCTCAGGCCCTCGGGAGGCCCTCACAGAATCCTTGCCCTCCCTGGCTGCCTCACCTGACCGGGCCCTTGTGCTGGGCCCAGTGCCTAGGCCAAAGAGTGCGGCCACATCCAGCATTGCATCCTGAATGTGCTGCCCAAACCGCCGGGAATCCTGCAGAAAGAGGATGCGGGTGAGAGAGGACCCAGAGGCCTGGGCTCCCACAGGGACAAGTCTGAGGGTCCAGAGACCCAGATCCCTGAGCGGATGTCAGGGTGCCCCAAAGGATGGAGTACGAGGGGCCCCACGCACCAGAGGTCCCAATGGGGACCCAGGATGGGACCTTAGATAACTAAGGTCCCTGAGAGGGCAAGTACAGGGAACCTAGCCACCAGGGCACTTCAGGGGTCGAGGGTAGAATGCCTGGGTTCGGGACTCCTGGCATGAAATGTCACAGTGGTAGTGAGTTCAAATCCTGATGCTGCCACTTACTACTTGTGTGACCTCAGGTAAGCTTACTTAACCTCTTTGGGCCTCAGTTTCCTCATCTGCAAAATAACTAAACTGGATGATCCCCAGGGTCCCTGCAAGCTCCAAATCTAGGCTCCTCTGACCTCCAGAAGATCCTCGAAGAGGGAGAGTGGGGGCGGGGAAAGCCAGGGGCCTGGAGGCCCGGGTACCCTAACCCCTGCAAGGTCTGGGAAGGACAAGGGCTCTAACCGTGTCAGGGCTGGAGACTCTGCAGGAGATGTGGAAAGTGACCGTGCTCTCCCCCATGAAGATGTAAGACACGCCATAGCCATCGTCATCCGCCTGGGGCCAGTGGAGGAGAAAAATCCCCAGTGCCACAGTCCTCCCTGCCCCAGCCCCTGACCCACTCCTCCCAGGAGCCCCCCTGTAGGCCCTGCACTGCCCCCCTCTGCCCCCCGTGGGCATCCAGGGACTATCCCCTCCAGGCCCTCCCTACAGGCCCAGCACTGCCCCCCTCTGCCCCCCGTGGGCATCCAGGGACTATACCCCTGTGCCCCACTCACAGGCCCAAAGCCGCCCCCGCAGCAAACATAATCTGGATGATTGGCTGGATCAAACAGTTGTGGCTGGTGCTTCGGGCTCTGGCTGGTGGAGAGTTTCCATCGCTCGGCCCGAACCTAGAAAGAGGGGTTTGGGAGGAGGGTGTGGGCCGGGGGACCCTAAGTCTTTCCCAATTCCCCAAGGTGTCTCATTCTTCCCCAGGACAGGGGTCACTGACCTGGGTCAAGAATGGGGATGGGAGACAGAGGAGCTGAGAGACGAGATACAGGCAGAAGAGGTGTCGATCGACGCCCTCGCCGGTCAGGGCCGCCCGACACAGTGTCCAGTGCTTCTCCGCCGCCACTCGGAAGAGGGTCAGGCGTTGGGCATCCTGGGGGGAGGGCAACCAGAAGTCATCATCCCCCAGGCTCTGGGGCCAGCGCTGGGGGCAGGCACAGGAGGGCCACCTACCGTCAGCCTCGGGTCCTCCATGGCCCTGACAAAGGCGCAGGCTTCCACCGTGCACGGCCGGATGGTCTCCGTGCGGCCCTCGTGAAACGATCTCGTCACACACGCCTCGTAGGTCAGACAGAAGCCGCCTTGGTCCTGGTGGGCCAGGAACAAGGGGAGGTGTTAGCTCAGGCACGGATGCCCAGCCCATCTATACCCTCCTGGCCCACACTGCCTGCCTCCCCAGCTAGATCACCCTCCTGGTCTACACTGCCTGCCTCCTCAGCTAGATCGTCATCTCTGTTGATACTGGCCAGCACACATGTACCTCCCTACGGCCTCCACCACACACCAGCCTACATTTCCCTCTCTGTTCCCACAGTGACCATCCACGGCAGACTTGCAGGTGCATAGACGGTCTCCCCCATCCCATCCCCCATTCTCCCTGGGGTACTGACCCGAAATCTGGCCAGCTGCAGGGCTAGCTGCACAAAGCTGCTTCCCGGGGTATGGCAGCGCCGGGTGAATCCTCTCCCAAAGTGGGTGAACGGAAGGATATGGCAGTCGGTGTCTCTAGCCAAGGCCTGGGCCTCCCGCAGAGCCAGGGGGAGGGACACAGCCACCTGCCCAGGATAGGGACCAGCATGAGGGGGCGCCGAAGGCAGGCCAGAGACGCAGACCCGCAAAGAGAAGAACGTAGGGGCGGGGGGCCGGCCAAGCTCTCACCTCCTCAGGCACCGTCCACAGGAGCCGCTCGGGGGGTCCCACTGTGGGGTCGGGGGTCCCTCTGCAATGCCCATCAGCTGCGTAGCCAAGTTCAAAGCACTCAGCAGCCAGTACAGCCTGGGGGGGAAGAAGCGAGAAACTCATCAGGACCCCACCTTAGGCCATCATTCCCTAGGATCCTGGCCCCTCACCCCTGGGCTTCCCTCAGGGGCCCCTGCAGAGGCCGGCCTCTGAGAGACATCTCTGGGCACATCTCTGACGGGGAGGCATCAATCTCCAGGGAGCCTCTCAGGGGTCTCGGGGGTGTCTCGGGCACAGCGGCCATGCCTCCCACATGTGCGAAGGGACGGGGGTGTCGGCCCAGGAGTGCTCCACGTTCAGCCCCATGCGTCCACTGGCAAAGACCACGAGATTCAGAGACTTGTCGAACCACCTGTGGGGGCGGCAGCAGGAGTGGCCTGACCGAGAGGTCTCTGCTGAGGCTGGGGTAGGGGAGGAGAGGGAGGAGGGGGAGGAGGGGGAGGCCCTGAGGGGCTGGGAGGGAAGAGGGCAGGAGACCTGGGGCATCTGGGAAGGGCTGGGGTGGGGAGAGGAACGCAAGCCCAGGAGGTGGGGCTGAGGGTGGAGGGAAGGGGCCCAGGCCTGGACAGGGCTGGGGACGCAAGGCTCACCTGCTGTGGCCAGTTCCCACCAGCACGGAGCGTGCTCGCTCATCCAGCTCGGGGGACGTCCCCGAGGGTCCTGGGGCCTCCTCGAGACATATGACGAAGGCAGCGCCCTCCACCACCTCCAAGGGGGCCTGCGTGCTCCTGTCCGCTGCCTGCAGGGAGGCCCGAGCCTGAGCCCATAGGGCCCTGCCAGGGCCAGGGCCGGGGTCAGGGGGTGCCGAACCCCCATGAGCCCCACGGCCCTCGGCCCTCCAGGAGCCCCACTGACCTGGGGGCAGCCGTCAGGGCGGCCAGGTGCTCCTCTGCAGGCCGGGCTGGGGCCGGGTCATCCAGTATGTGCTGAAGCTGCTGCTCCAGCACCCGGGGGCTCAGCAAGCGGCCCCCCGGCCCCCCATGGGTCCTCAGGCAGAAGAAGCGGCCCCGGTGCAGGACAGCCACGTGGCGGCTGCAGCCATCCCTGACGTGATACAGCCGGTCTGGGGAGGCGCCAGCATCACATCAGGTCTTGGACGGCCAAGCGCTCCGAGTGATTAGGAAAATCAGCGACCATGCAGGGCCTTGCACAGGGCATGAAGGGTCATCGGCACGCCCTCGTGCGATCTGCTGGGGCCGTGGCATTTCTTAGCACTGACATTACAGAGACCCCTAGAGGAATGGCCTGCCCTCGTCCTCACTGCCCCAAGCACAAGGCCTGGCACTCAGCGGCCGCCCGATGCACACTCGTAAATGGCAGGGGCAGGATGCGAGCCCAGCGCTTCCTGACTCCAAATCCAGCGCTCCATCCACTGCTCTGGGGGGTTCTGGGGTCACCAGGGCCTCTTGTGGGGAGGGCAGGGGTCACAGGTCACGGGACTTCTCACCTCCGGAGACGCCAGGGATCCGAGTGGTGTTGAACATCTGCCGGTACTGGGCCGAGCACAGCGGGCGCATCCCCAGCAGCGTTGCCTGGACCAGGGGAGGCGGGAAACTGCATGACCCAGGGCCGGGAGAGGCTGCTTACCTGGCTCCCGAGTCACCCCTGCTCCGGGTCGGCCCCCACCCAGCCTCTTACGGGCTCAACCTCCCCGCGGCCAAGCTGCTCCCGGAATCTCATCATGGCGTACACAGCGTTCCCGGCTCTGGCGGCCTGCAGGGGAGTGGGGGCCACAGACAGGAAGTCCTGTGGGGAAGATGGGCGGACTGCAGCAGGCACGCCCGTGCACCGGCCGTCCCCAGGCCCCCTCACCTCCCTTGTGGTCAGTGCCTCCCTCTGAGCTGACCGCCTGTCTACACTGCGTAGAAGAGAACTGTAGACACGCAGCATCAGAACGGAAGCTCCTCGAGGGCAGGACCCCTGTTTGTGCCTTTTGTATGCCCAGAAGCTAGCGTGTGGTAACCCCTTAAAAGATGCTTGCAAACTGGCCCTAAGAAACAGAACTGGGATTGGTCACAGGCCATTTGGCCAGGGATAGGAGGGCCAGCAGGCCAAGGGACGGGGGCTCACCAGGATATAGAAGTTGCTGTTGCCCAGCAGGGGGCTTCGGGACCGCAGGTAGACGTACTCTGCCCACCAGTCACTCACCTGGGGAAGGGGGAGCTGGATCAGACTGTGGCCACGCCCACTGTGCCATGCTGGGACACGCTGGGCTGTGGAGACAGGGCACTCACGTAGTTGGCTGCCCACCAGGCCTTGAGGCCCAGAAGAGCTTGTAGCTGGGGGGCCTCTGTGTGTAGGAACATCTGGGCCTGGCTGCTCAGGGCCTGGAAATCCTCATCCGACAGCAGCGGTCGCACAGATTCCAAGTACTGGGGGCACACGGTATGTATCCCGCCATGGCCATCTGCCTCTGAGGCCCCAAGATCTTAATCCTTTTGGTCCCTGATTTCCTGGGTCCCCAAGCCTTTGACCCTATAACCCTGGGTCCCTGTAACTCTTGACTCCCTGGGTCCCCACACTCCTAGGTCCCCACAACTCTGACTCCCTGGGTCCCCATACTTTTGACCCTCAGGGTCCCCAAGTCCCCACACCCCAGGGTCCCCATAACTGTGACTCCCTGGGTCCCCACACTTTTGACCCTCAGGGTCCCCAAGCCTCCACAACCCGGATCCCCGTAACTCTGACTCCCTGGGTCCCCATACCCCTGACCACACTCCTAGGTCCCCAAAACTCTGACACCTTGGGTTCCCACACCCCTAACTCCTACAGTGTCTGATTCTTGGGTATCAGGGATGGATCCCAGCTCTGCCATGCCCACCTTGGCCACCGTGCCCGCTGTAGAGGGCAGGGGTAGGCAGGGCAGGGAGCGTTGGTATGTGTAGAGTGTCGGGCGGCGGCCGGAGAAGATCCTGACCAGGGCCTGGAGGAGGCAGGAAGCACCGGGCCCTGACCCAGATCCTTTCCCCCTTCCTTCAGGTCCCCCACCCCCCAAGACAAAGCAGAGACCAACTGGGGTCGCAAGGGCTGGAAAGCCGGGCCCCAAGGCTCCTCATACCAGCCAGGAGCGTGTGGGTAAGGACAGGGTCCCCCGAGGCTCACTCAGCCAGCCCTGGTAGCGTAGGAGGAGCCGCAGTACCACATGCAGGGTCAGCAGCAGGGCCGTCCAGAGGCCCCCGGCGAAGATGGTGGCCGCCAGAGCCCCTTGGAAGCCTGGGAGCCAGCGCGCACTCCTGAGGAGAGGGCACCAGGCTGGGGCTCAGCCCCCGGGCCAACAGACTCAATGGCCTGGATTCTGAGCTTAGGAGTCTACACATCACACTGCTCCCCCAACCCACACCCTTGCCTGGGCCCTGCCCTGAACTACCAAGAGGCAGGATGGTGCCTAGAGATCTACCAGACAAAGAAACTAGGTCTAGGCAGGAGGGAAACCCGGGCCTGGCTGGCCCTGCACCCTGGGGAGCCTCACCAGTCTGGGAGGCTGGCCTTCATCCAGTCCACCAGCCCCAAAGACGGGTCCAGTTGCATGAACCGTGAGCCCTGGATAGCAGCGAAGAGGAAGAGGCCGCTGGCTGGGCCAGCCGGGCAAGCTCCAGATAAGATGTCATCCTGCCAGGACAGAAGCCATGGGCCGGCTCCCGCATACAGGCTTGGAGGTCTCGGAACTGGGTATTGGGGGGGGAGGGCTGGAAGTGACTGGGGGATTGTAAAAGTGGGTTCAGTGAAAACAGAATGGGACCCTGAGGACCCGCAAGAAGGCCCCAAGGGCCTCTAGGAGCAGGGGGATGGGCTCAGAGACCCCAAGCACTAGATCTGGGACCTCGGGACACGGAACCACTCCAGGCTAGAATCCAAAGAACCCTTTTGAAAAAAGCCCCATAAAGATCCTGGCAGGCAGCCCCTGAAAGAAGGGCAGGATGATGCTGGGGTGTGCTCTGGAGCTGGACTGAGCATGTGATGGGAGGGGGTGGGCAAGACAGCTGGCAGTGCCCCAGCCCCCTCCCCTTACCCTGCACTGGGCCAGGCTCCGCCTCCAGGAGCGCAGCCCGGCGCTGCCGACCTCCTTCAAGGCTGGATTCCACCATCTCCGCCCCGGAGTCCCCTGTCCCAAGTCTAAGCGGAAGGTCGCTGCCTGGCGGGCCTCGGCCATGGCGCCCTGGGACCCAGGGAAGGGGACCACTCGTTGGCCCTTCCCCGCTCCCCCCCCACCCTTCCTCTGATTCAGGAGCATCCCATCCCCCAGGAACTTTGACTACAACTCCCATGAGGCCGTGGGGACCACGAAAAGGGCTGACCATAGCTAGGCCACCGCATGGCCTGCCGGGAGATGTAGTTCGGGGCCCGCAGAAGGGGGCTGGTGTTGCACCGCCAAGTGCCCACGCCTCACCCCCACCCCCCGCAGCCCCGGGAATGGGGCAGGGGCGGCCTGGACCCCACCCCATTCTGGTGCCAGTTAGTGCTGTATGTAGCAGCTTCAGGAAACCAAGGGGTGGAGCTAGGACGGGGCTAGAGAAAGGGTCCAGAAGTCCAGCTTGTCCACCGCGCATGCTCCGGAGCTTGGGATGCCGAGAGCCCGGGGCAGGAGGAGTGGGGATCCGCGTGATGGAGACCCCGGTGTGCAGCCTCTTCCCCACCCCCATCAGGCCCTAGAGATCGAGGACCTCGACCCCGGGCCCTCAGGGGTCCCAAGTATCCGCCCCCAGCCCCCAGCCCCAGCCCGGGCACCTTGGGGTCCTGTCCTCCAATTTCTGCCCCCCTAGGGCCCGGGCATCCCTTCCTCCAGCTCCTGGCCCCCAGCTGCACTTTACAGGAGCTATCGCCTCGCTACTCACTGCACTTGGAGATCTCCGACGTGCGGGGAGCCCCCCCCACCCCCCCTTCTGTCTGCGCCTGCGTCCGGCAGTCCCCTTCCCCCCTCCTCACGTCACACGCAGGGGGGCGCATCTTCCCCCAGCCCCTGTACGCTCCCCGCGCATGTGCGCGCTCAGTCTCTCTCAGGGTCCTGCTGCCCCAGACACTGCGGAGCAAGGCTTTTCGGCGCTGTCCATGTTGGGGGCGAACTGGTGCCCAGCAGGCAGCTCCGTGGGGCCGCGGGACCCCCACCTTCCCTGTCTAGAACTCCGGCTCTGTTGCTCCTGGGGCCCGCCTCCGCAGTTTGGAGTCCGCGGGGTTCTCACCCAGTCCCAGCTCGGGGAAGAGAAGGGGTGAGAACGTCAGAGCGCCCATCGCCTACACCGCTTGGAGTCCCAGGACTGGAGAGAGATTCCAAGGGCACAGGAGTCACTCTCCCACCAAACATCTACAGGAGTGGAGGGCGGGCTGGCAGTGCAGCGGGCGCCAGAGAAAGGTGTGGACAGTCCTCCGCTTGGGGACGCTTGTGATTATAGTCTCCCCGACGTGGTATTTGGGTATAGATACAACAGCCATGTTGACCTGCCCTCCCCCCACTTTACAGATTTAGAAACTGAGGTCTGGAAATGAGTTGACCAAGGTTTATCCGGGTCCTCAAAGAGCCTAGCAGGGTTCCCAAAGTTCTGCTGGTTTTCTGGAGGGCAGCCAGATAGCACAGTAGAGCCCTAGCTAATTTCAAATTCAGCCTCATCTAGTGACTGTTGGCCTCAACTGGCTCACCTATAAAATGGGACAGAGAAAGAAATGGCAAACCACTCTAGTACCTCTGCCCAAAAAACCCAATGAGGTCACAGAGTCTGACAGGTGAAAATACTCAAGTTTTCTGGAGATGCAGCTCACAAGCCAACCCATGGCGGGGCAGAGTGGATGGGGACCCTTGTGGACACAAAGCCCTGAGCCACATTTGGGGAAGGATAAAGTGAATGCAGATGAGCCCCCTTTTGGGGGTGTGGGGAAAGAGGCACAAGTCTCCTGGAAGCCCAGGCAGGCGGAGGCAGCCCAGGTCCCCCCACCCCACCCCACCCTACCCTACTTCCGGCTATTTTTTCTGAGAACAATGAGTCAAAGGGAGGTGGGTTGCCTGGAGGCCCCTTCTGGGAAGGAAGGAAAAGGGGCCTTCGGGAGGCAGGTGCCACAGGCCAGGCAGCTCTGCCCCCAGCAGGGAGAGAGGTTCTAAGGAGAGCCATAAGGAGGACCCCAGAGATGTGGGAGCCAAGGGTGCAGGAGCGACTGAGGTGCTGGCCTGCCCAGCCCAACCCTCCCTGATGCCCAGCCCAGCTCAAGCTCTGCTCCCCAGATCCCAGCTGACGATTTATTGTCATGAATGCAACCATATAAAAACATAAGTTATGAAAAACACAGTCACGATGTCGCCCCTGGGCCCCTCACTCACCCACAGGAGGGAGCAGGGGCTTGGGGGTGGAGGACAGAGGATGGGGGAAAGGGCGATAGGGGGCCCTCTCTACCCCCAGGGTGGCGGCTGGCTCCCCGGGGCGGGATGGGCCGGCTGGGGCAGGGGCCCATGGGAACGGCCCACGGGGCCGACTCAGCGCATTCGGTAGTCCGTGGAGCAGGAGAGCTCACACAACTGGCCTTTGAAGTCCAGGTCGATGGTGAAGTCGAGGTCTCGCTGCAGGGGGGAAAGTGAAGCGTGAGGAAGGAAGGAGGGAGCTCCCGAGCACCCAGCCCCCAGCTCCCCCTACAGAGCCACAGAACTTTAGGTAGGAAATGGGGGCTCACACAGAGACCTGAATTCCAATCCTGGGCCTGGTCTCTGTGGCACATGCCAGCCCAGACAATTCTCCTGACCACGCCCGGCCTGCTGCTCCTTCACAGAATGAGAGGTTTGAAGCACCCCACGGGAGCTAGCCCCCAACCCCAGGATCTGTCATTCCCTTCCAGTGCCCTCCTCCAGGGTGGTGCCAGGCCACACCAGGCTCTCGAGATCTTCAGCTCTCAGACCCCCACTACATCTTACATTGTTCTTAGCATTGGGCCGCATGCCAATGGTGCCAAAGATCTCCTCGCCCGTCTTCACTGTGAGATAATCCTCCATGTAGAAGACTGTTTGCTTCCAGTGCGTGTAAGGGGACTCAGGGCCTTGGGCAAGAGGGAGCCGAGCAGGTCAGAGAGGTCACAGCACCTTGACTGCCGCCCCCCCCCCCCCAGCCCGGCCAATCCTAGTAAAGGACACAGGCTTGTCCTCCACGGCTAGGTGCCCCTTTCCCTTTCCAAAGGATTCCCACACTGTCCCAAGGAATCCAAGTCCAGTGGCCTACAGCTGGTTACAGAAGCCTATCACAAGTCAGGACAGCTGCCAAACAAACTTTCCCTAGTCACCGAGGGGGCCAGTCCAGAGCCACCCAAGCATCACCACGTGGGTGCCCGGGAGCAGGCACGGCCTTTCTCCTCCCACCCGACTGAAGTCAGGATGTCCTAAATTCCCTCCCCTTGCTTGGGGTCCCCGCCCTCGCCCGGGGCTCACTTGTGGAGAAGCCCGTGCGTTTGTGGCAGCGGGTGAACTCGATGTTGAAGTAGGCCACCAGGGCGTGGACGTAGTCATTCCTCTTTACTTGCAGACAGAAGGGGGAGGTGAAGGTCAGGTCGTCCACGCGCACTGTGTAGATGTCCACCTCCTGGGAGGGGCAGAACACACGGTCATGCCCTCCTCACAGCTCCCAGCCCAAGAGGCCCCGAGAGCACACTGAGCTCCAGACATTCAGCCTGTCGCGGGGCCCAGACGGGGCGGGCCATACGGGGGGGCAGTGCAGAGCAAGGCTCACCTGGCTCGGCCACCCCTGACCCAGGACAACTTCTCAGGGCCTCAGTTTCCCCTTGAGGCCATTGGATTAGGTGACCTCAGCTCAAAACCAACAACCCTGACCCAGAGCGGGGTCCCACCTTGATCAAGCAGGCATTGGTCACCAGCTGCTTGGGATCAACTACGTCAACGAGAGGTTCCTTAATGGCAACGTCCTTGATGCAGGACATGTCGAAACCATAGACGTTCTCCCACCCTGAGGGACAGGACAGAAGAGCTGTGCCACCCTGACCCAGGG